CTAGACGATGGCATTGGTAGCTTTCATTCTTTCTTTTATTAAACATGCCTATCGAGTCACCCGACCGGTTTGTACCCTTCCGTGTGCCACTTGGAGATCGTTTCCGAGCTACCAAGCAAGCCCACGAGTTATCACCATCAGAACGACTACGCCGCACAGACGACGCCGGATCTGACGTCTTCTGCTTCGCCCCGAAGCGATCCACGCCCGTCTCGTCCCGATGGGCATCTCGATCCGATAGCAATCCGCGGCGAGTTGGCACCGTCCTAGGATTGCATAGTCTAGAACAACGACAGGTCAGCAACGGTGCCGTTTGGTCTGTGGGCGGCATAGCTCCCGGAGGAGTCGATGACGGGCATGGCCGCCGCGTGAGCTCAGGCACAAATGCACGCCTCTACGCCACCCCGTTTTCGAACGCGCGTCCCAAATCCGAAGAGGACCAGGAAAAGCACGAGGGTCGACTTGCTCTGGCGTTGAAGATAGATCGCGTCCAGCGGATACTAGATTTTGACGGATATTCCACCTTTCCCCGCTGCAAGCACAAAGCTAGACCGTTGCTGCGAAAAGCTAAGACAATATGGACGGGAAGCGAGTGGAGTAACGATAGCTGTGTGCCAAGTACGCCGCCGTTCTTACCTGCCTCGGGCTTAATGGAACTGATGAAAGCTACAGGAATTCAAAAGGAAGAACGATGTCTTCCCAATGCTCCATTCAAGTTCGTTAATCTTTCAAATGACTACCCCGCTGGTGCTCAGGTTAATGGCCTCTAGAGTTCTAGATGCTCCCGGTCTTCGAGACGACTTCTACTGCTCGATCATGGCTTATTCCCGATCATGCAACACTTTGGCCGTGGGATTGGGTAATCTGCTTTACGGATGGTCCGAATCTTCCGGCGTAACGCTCCTGAATACGGGACACAAGGATGGGTCATGGCTAACTTCGGTGGCATTCTCGTCGGACCAGGGCGGCAAATCTATACTAGCCTTCGGTCGGTCAAGCGGGCTGCTCTCCTTGGTTTCGCTTTTCGACAGCCTGCTCCCTCGCTTTGAAGCATACCACCCCGAACCAATAGCTTGCCTCTCCTGGCGTCCAACCACCTCTACTCGCCCCTCTCGCAGCAGGCGTAACCCTGGTGTTCTGGTGAAGACGGAAGACCTTCTCGTGGGAGACGATATGGGCGATGTCTACTACTACTCGGTTGAGTGGCCCGAGCCCTAGGAAGTGGCTAGGGAGAATTGGCCCGGCGCCATGACTTTGCTCGCTCGCATCAAGGTCCATTCTCAGCAAATATGCGGCCTCGCGTGGTCTCCAGATGGCGAGCAGTTCGCCACCGGTGGGAATGATAACTTGTGTTGTCTCTTCAATGCCGACATTGTCGCGGACGGGGAGCGCCGCCCGGATGTAAGCCTCGACAAACCGCTAGCAGCCAATCCCAGTGGCAGCGAAAAGGAGCCCGAGACCCCAAACACCGAAGAAGAAGGTGCTACTTTCTCGCCCTTGTCCGCGGGATTGGCGTCCGACATTCCCAGCCCGTTGTCCAGCATGAAATGTTTACCAGCTAGCTCCGAGAAACATCGATGGCGTCACGGGGCGGCTGTCAAGGCCATTGCATTCTGTCCGTGGCGGCAGGGGCTGGTGGCCACGGGCGGGGGATCCAACGACAAATGCATTCACTTTTACCACACGAATTCGGGAGCGGCGCTCGCTACCATCTCGGTGGCGGCGCAGGTGACGTCTCTCATATGGAGCACGACTCGGCGGGAGATCGCTGCGACGTTTGGATACGCACAGCCGGACCACCCATACCGCATCGCCGTGTTCAGCTGGCCCGACTGCCGGCAGGTGGCTGCCGTGCCGTAGGAGGGCGAACATCGCGCGCTATATGCCATTGCGTACCCGGGCGGCCCGAGTGATACATATCGAACAAAGGAGAGGCTGAAGAGCCGGACTGCCGAGGAGGGCTGTATCATCGTGGCGAGCAGCGACGAGAGCGTCAAGTTCCACGAGGTCTGGGTAGCGGGTCGCAAAGCTACTACCCTTAGTAGCGGTGTCCTAGCTGGGAGCGACATCTTGGAGATGGGCGAGGGTATCGACAAAGAGGGTGACGTGATTCGCTGACAAGAGAGAAAGCAACAGCATTATATTGTTCGGTAGTGGATTAAAGAGCCAGATCATATAGCAATAGGATGACTCATTTCTTTCGAAGGGAAGGCAAGCAGTGCTTGTTTTCGTGCTCCAATGTCCTTAAAAACGATAGCCTCCCTCAGGGAGAGGTGCTCAGTGTAATAGTAACGACTGTGGTGATCCCAAATATCATGTGTTGCTCGAGGAGGCATTCTAGTAACAATCCAACGTTTCCAAGAAGGTTCGATAGCTCAGGACGCTCGACAATCCATTATCCTATAGTATATTCTTGGCTATGAGTAGGTCGGAGAGACTGGACGTTTGACTTTTTTTTCGTTTTACGTCGCACAATAGCTGACAAAGAACGGGGCCTTCGTCCATGGAATGGTCACGATAGACAGACAACCTTGACAACAGTAGATTATAGAGACCGATTTCTAACAATGGATGATTACTTCCCTTTCGTTCGACGTCATTCCAATATGCTTTGTCAGGGGCTGATGAGACATCTGTCGAAAATGGACTTTGCTTCATTCATTGATACTTACATGTATGTACCTCAGGTCAAGTGACAAAGGTACGCCGTGAGGAAATGGCTTCATCAGGAGGGAGATTGCTAGCTTCAATGTTGTTAATTGGGTAAGAAGCTTTGGTCAATTCCGATAAGGTCTGTGCGTCAAAGCAGATCCATGGATGGGCATTAATCCATTTTCGGTTCGGTCACGTTCCCCTAGGTAAACTCAGTCACCGTGTCACCGGCCAACTGGATCCTTGCAGATAGCCCCGCCTTGTCCTGCCCCACCAATTGATCGTACATGTAGGTACCTAACGTAGGTACCCCAGTGCTTCTAAGGAACCACCAGCCACCACCCCATGGCAGACACATTGTAGTTCAACCTAAGGGTGTTAGCTGGAGAGTGTAGGTACCCAAAGGCCGCTACCATTGAAGCTTACCTCTCCGCCTCTCCTTATCGGTGACTGCACTCTAGGTACATTAATCAGTGGCTCAGCCAGTCACTTGAGCACTGCTACAAGACATGTATTTGGTCATCAAAACCAAATCACCTGCACCCGTAAGGTTGCCTTAAAGTGCCCGTGCTTGTACTTCCTACATATTCCTCCGCCCACCTCCTCGCCCCCCCCACGCAAACCGGCCGCTGCCTTCAACCTAAACCACACCATCACTTTCTACTACCATCATTCATCAACCCGGATTGCTCATCCTCTCGACCTCTCTTCTAATCCGGCTGTCCATTTCTTTCGACAATCCCGCTACCCCTTCTGTTTATCATCAACGAACATCGAGACGCATTTATCAAGATGCGATCCAAGTTCAAGGACGAGCATCCCTTTGAGAAGCGCAAGGCCGAAGCCGAGCGCATTCGCCAAAAGTACGCCGACCGCATTCCGGTATGTTTTCATCATCTCCTTGCCCCCTCTACCTATCTATCTCTACCGCTCTTCATCTTCGTCTTCTCCCGACATTACAGCTCGACTCAGGCAATTATGGTCGATGCTGTTCCCATTCGCGATCCCCACCACCTCACCGCTTTGTTTGCCCTTCTACTCCAGCACTCAGACTTCTGACTAACCCCGCTATGAATAGGTCATCTGCGAGAAGGTCGAGAAATCCGACATCGCTACTATCGACAAGAAGAAGTATCTGGTACCGGCAGATCTCACAGTGGGACAGTTCGTCTACGTAATCCGAAAGCGCATCAAGTTGTCTCCCGAGAAGGCCATCTTCATCTTTGTCGATGAAGTCCTCCCTCCGACCGCCGCTCTCATGAGCAGTATCTACGAGGAGCACAAGGACGAGGATGGGTATGTTTGCCCCTTTCTAACTACTGTTATCCGCTTCCGCGAGCTGACGCCCTCCCTAGATTCCTTTACATCACCTACTCGGGCGAGAACACGTTCGGCGAGGCTATCTGAAGGCTTTGGTCATTTCCTATTTTCCCTCCCAACGGCGTTATGGTTTATTCAGGACTGGACGACAACGATTTGATCATTAGTGGCGGTGAATTATGGATAGGGCAGGCATAGTCATGGCAGATGGTTGATATGGATTGTGTCTTACTGACGAGTCACATCACGGGCCCGAAAGGTGTAGATGACATCAGTCTTTGATTTTTCATATCAATATCAGCGTGGCTTCCGTCCACCGAGCCGGTCCCATGCGGGATGCAGTGTGATTTGTCTGCCGTCGCTCTTTGACATCGATTATTCGCAGGGGCTTGACGCTTCTTGGATATGTTTTTAAATATCTACCTACTCTGCCCAACTCGCAAGCAACATGTACAATGATCCACAGCGTACTACGAATCAGTGCCATATTCTACAGTCGCACATAGCTAATGGGTACTGACAAACCGCTATCATTACAAATATCCCCAAGCCTTCCGGAACCCATCCTAGCCGTCCTAGATGTGGGTTACAGATCACAAAACACCGTTCTGTGACTAGGTGGTTACGCCATCGGCAGTGGTGGATCATGGCGGTCCGGTATCGACCTAGAGCCCAACTGAAATGAGATACTACCTGTTACAAGGACGGGAATGCCAATCAATCGCCTGCCAGGATTGATGTAGTCTCTAGCCCTTCATCGGAGCCAAAATGAGCAGAGTCCGTAGAAGTAGAATGTCTTAAAAATGAGTGATACTAAGCATCTAGCTCGCAACGAGCAGCAGGCAGCGGATACAATATCCACCTTGGCCATATCCACTTCTAGCAAGCAACGACGAGAAGGCCGACCCCTTCGTATAACTAACTTAGATCACCATAGCAGCCCATCCGTCAACGACTAGGAAGCGGTAAGGTATCCACCACCGCCCCCCCCCCCAAAGTCCCTAGCCCGTATTCTTTAGCAAAGCGACGGTGAGATGGCCGAGTGGTTATGGCGCTGCGTTCAGGTCAACCCTGAATATATTGGTCTCTTCCATCTGGACGAACAGGAAATATCGCAGTGGAGCAATCCGCGTGGGTTCGAGTCCCACTCTCATCATCATTTGACTTTTGCCAATTCCAGTGGTTGGCACCAGAGTAACAGGCTTTTTAATAATTTTTTTTCTCCTGGCTTATTTTCCTTTTTACGTCTCTTTGGGAGCTGCCCTAAGTGCAGTGACTTTCATAAAACTCAGTTAAGGCGACCTTGGACTACATGTAGCTTAAGTAGGTAGGAAGTCGACACTACTCTGTTCCCATTCAATTCCCTGCAAAGAAACTCCCGAGATTCTTATCCATACAAGTTTGCTTGGTTTGAAGAATAAGCTGGGCCTGTGCTACATCTCCGCTAAATTCAAAGTGCAATCTATTAATATCCATCAGATTATAATTATCGTCATCAAATAAGACTATCTAGTCTGGTCTGTACGCACTATCGAAGCTTCTCTAACCACCCAATACCTCTGTGAAGGCGAATACTGTTTACTCGAAGCTATTCTAAAGTTATGAGCAGATTTGATGCATAGAGTCGAGCAGCTTATCGTTAGCACCTAAGCACTCAGGCGCCCCCGGAATAGCGCTACATGACCTTCGTCGTTATAGGTGAGTCTGGACATATCTGCCAGAAAGGTTTTCTTGCAATCACTCTCTTCCTATGAGATACCTTAGGTACCTAGGTAAGTCATAAGTCTGATTCTTGGTAAAGATGTCCTAACCTAGCTCGAGCCTGGCCGGGTACCGCAAGAGATATATATTGAGGACTTGGATCTCGTCATGTCCGTAGTCCTTCGTCCAACCATGCGATCAATTTCTAATGGGTCAGCAGTCTCACATCTCTTAGCCTCGAAACTGACAGAAGTGGGCAGAAGATAGTACGAGTCCCATCCTTATGGCAGTTTCTAAGCTCTAAGGGGCCTTTATCACGCACCAGATTAATTAATCCGCGAACATCCTTACAAGACGGGTAACCCAGGTATCGGAAATTCCTTCTTTGCCTATCTCCAAGAATAAGAAGTCTTGGTTTGGGTTGCTCTACCTATGCTCTCCCCCTACTTCTACTCCTTAAACCTAGATAAATTTTGTCCAAACAAGCAAGAAAACAAGTGCGGTAGCTCGCGCGTAGAGCGCGAGGTAAGGGTGGCACCTGGAAATATCGTACACGATGTGAACACTGGCAACCCCTGCTCGTAGTCACCGGAATTAATAATAATTCCATCAACACAATCCGCGTATAACAACCGCAAAAGTCTCGAAGCAAATAGATTAACCGTGGACCAACGCCGATTTTTCCTTGCTTTTCGCTGGGAAAAAGATATGGTGTTCGAATAGAAAAAGCAAAAAATTAGGCCGGCGTAGTTAGAACGTCAATCGTGGATGGGAATCGCTAAGAGCCTCCAAACCTTCCGAATCCCCAAAATCATGCAAGTTCCTGAACGTCCAGCCGATGTAATGGTGCGTATAAAACAGCCGAGCCAAGACCGAACAACAGTACAGGATCCCGTATCCAAAGGCGATGCTTGTATGCTAGATATACTTCTTTCTCGAAATGCGTTTCCTCGAAGAGCGGCGGGACATCATGCTGGATTGCCCTTCAGGCGCTTTTGTAACCGAGGCGTCGGGGGTTTCTTGTTAGCCATTGTGACACCATTGACCTGAGCTCCCCCAATACTTGCAGGCGTCGGTGCGCCACTATCCTCCTCGGCCTTGACGGTGGATGGCCTCCTCCGCTTGTTGCTCGCTGGACTTGTATTGGCGCTGGGTCCGCTAGAGCTCGTTCCCTGTTGACTTTGCTGCAGTTGCATTCCCGGCGCCTGCATGTGGCCCTGAGCAGGGCTGCCCATGTGAGGCGAATTTGGAAGCTGCAGGTGCGTGGCTGCTGGTGAAGCGCCCATGGGGAACTGGCCAAAACTGGGCGTTCGCGGGTTCGGCGGACCGTTGCCTTGGGGCTGACCGTTCACTACAGGCTGTGGAGCGTTGGTGATATGCTGACTGACGTATTGCTCAAGCGCGGCGTAAGGAGACAAGCCCGGGTGCGTGTGGTAAAAGTTGAACAGCGGCTGTACGTATCTGTAAGTTAGTAACACGGCCGAGTATGAAAGACCATTGAGAGTAACGCATCCGCCTCTCACAGGGGTAACTCACGTTCATTTGTCCAACGACTTCGATAATCTACAACACCGCGTCAGTGGAAGCGTAAAACGGGGATCAGGACGGTGTGAGAAACGCATACCTCAAGAAATTGAAACACGGCTTCCGTTATGCCTATATTCTGTTTGACCGCTGACTGGGGCAAGTCGATATCAGGGGGCGGATTTTGAGGCGACTTCATCGGTTTGGCTTTCCCCTTTTTACTCATCTCCGGGGATAGTCGTGAATCTTGGCCGTTTACCTTGAGCCAATCCTTGACCCAGTTATGCGCCGGTTTGGCCGCCTCAATAACCATTTTCCTCGAGTGATACTCCTCGTGGCCTTGCGTGATGAATTCCAACAGCTCCAGCTTCTGTTCGCTATCAAACTGGGCACGGAGAGTCCCCGTCGCGACAACCTAGCAGCGAAGTCATCAGAATAAGTTACTTCAAGCCGAGCTGGCGTTACAATTTGCGAAACTTACGTGGGAGTTGTCGAACCAGTACGTTAAGCTTGCCTTCTGGTTCTCGATGAAATGGCAGCCGTTTGGTAACGGTCTGTCAGTAATGCCCTTCTCGAGGGTCAAATTGATTCTCCTGACACCGCTCTCAAAGTGCGTGTGGAAATACCGGGCCAGAGCCGGCCGCGTTATCTCGTGCTGCTTGTCTGTATGTTCCTCGTTCGTCGGGTCGGTGCCGACGTAAAATAGTGAGAGTCTAAAAACGCCTCTTGGCGAGAAGAACTGGTCGACAAAGTTGTTCCAGTATGTCAAGTCATCCTTAGTCCTTGAGCCCTGTTGAGTAGCATGTGAGCAGCTGCTTTCCGTCAATGGACAGCGGGAAGAATGAGAGCGGGAAAAGGCAGGCTTAGTACTAACAGGATATCCGCTAAGATGTTCGCCAAATTGGAGTAGCTTCAGCAGGCAGTGTCCCTTCAAGCCATCGTTCTTATGCTGCTGTTGATGTAGCAATTGCTGCTGAATGTTATTCGGAAGCTGGAGATGCTGGCCTGGCTGTAATGGCTGAGCAGTGGGTGGCTGAGGCTGGTTCTGTTGGCCATTCGGTGGCTGTCCCTGGCCCTGGGGCGGTTGCGGCTGATTGCCTTGCACCGGAGTTGGCCCCTGGTTCGGTTGTTGATTCGGCTGTGCGACGGCTGGCGTCGGGGCTCTCTGAGGGCCCTGGGAACTCGGCTGGGGCTGCTGGCCTGGTTGTGGTCCAGGTTGTTGCTGTCCTGGTTGCTGCTGGGGCTGGGGTTGCTGTCCTTGCTGTTGTGGTTGCCCCTGAGGTTGAGCTTGGGGTTGTGGTCCTTGGCCTTGAGGGCCCTGCTGAGCTTGTTGCGCTGCCATCGACTGTGCTAATTGGGCCTGCTGCATCTGCAGCTGCTGAGAGGTCATTTGTCCAGGATGACCGGGTTGGTTACCTTGGTGCATTTGATTAGTCGCCGCCTGCTGCGCTTGATGCTGTTGCTGCATTGCTAATTGATGTGCGAGCATTTGCTGCAGTCAATGATCATGTCAGCGTCGAAATAGAACCACGGGATATTGCTACGTGCAAGGGAGAGCTATGTTACCTGTGCATGCTGGGGATTCTGATGTTGCCCCTGCTGAGCAAGATGCGCTGGTTGGAGATGCTGTGGTAATCCGACTCTTTGCATGTTGGCGGCGTTATTCCTCATGGCCTGAAAATGGGCTGCCGTCATATTCCCCATATTCATGCCCTGCATGTTCATGGGCATGCCGCCACCGTACATCTGCTGTTGGAGCATGGCCTGTCTCTGCTGGTGCTGTAGCAATCTCTGTTGTTGCATTTGAGCGATCATCTGGGGGTTTTGAGCTACTATGGGAGCGCGGTTGGTTAGCGAAGCACAAGTAGACGACCCTCTCGTGGTGCCGGAAGGATGGTATCCGCGAAGGGCGACTAGGTATTCTTTTCTACTTACAAAACTGTTGCTGCTGGATCATCTGCTGTTGGGGGTTCAGATGCTGGAGGGCGTGGGCGTTTGGGCCGGCTGCGCCAGGAGGCATACCTCCCATCATGGCAGCGGGATTGACCTGCCCACCGGGACCAGATACCGCCATGTGTGCGGCCATCTGAGGAGGCATGCCTGGCTGGGCGCCCGGCTGACTTGGATTGTGTGCCATGCCCGGAGCACCCATGGGATGTCCCGGATGGACGCCCGGATGTTGCTGCATGCCTGGGTGAAAACCAGCCGGTCCTATGCTTGCCATCATTTCTACTACTGTCGACTATCCACGGCGTGGATATCGACGCCCAACCTTGGTCACGAGGTCATACGCTTTCGTTTCGTCAACGTCGTGGTCGCAAGTGTCGATGCGATCGGCGGATCGACTTTTGGGTGACCGAAGAGTTTCGCTGACAACACAGTCCCTGATCTATCTCTTTCTTCTCAAATAGACACGAACTTCTTCTCTTCCTACCCACTAACACGGCTAGATTCGATTCGACTTAATGCGATCGGCGATTAGATTATGTTATGTGTACTATAACTCAGATGGCGTCGCGTCGGCGATTGCAGGCTTTGGCTCTGGGCGTCGCGGGCTTGAAGTTGCGTTGCGAAATGCGTCGAGGCGGACAAGCGTGTGCGTAGCTTATTGTGGAGAGTGAAGAAGCAAGACGACGATTGGAAGCGGACCTCGATTCTCTTATCCTGTCGAGCTCGGCACGCGGTGGGATATTGAGTTTTTAGGTGCGCGCGCTACAGCGAAGGCACGGCAGCCGCAGTACGTAGCTTTTGGTGCAAGTTACAGGAAACGCCGCTGCAAACTTACACCAGATTCGGTCAACTTCATCAATACGTCTCTCGTCAGAACAAGAACAATTGGCACAACTATGTTCTTGTCGTTGGCCGCCGCCGCTGTCGCGTGTAGGTAATAGGCGAGGCGGAGCGGAGAGGCGGACGTGCACGATGTGATGT